AGGATAAATGATCTGAGGGGTATTTGTGGATCACAGGGTTTTATGAGGGAGATTCTCAGCAGGTGTAAACTGACATAGTGTAAGTTTGCTGACTGATACCTGCTGAGTACCTACCTCTGATGATTTTGAGGGACACATTTGGCTTTTCTCCCCACACTGAACCCAGCTTTTTTTGGGTTTCATGTTGTGGAAAAATGACCCAAATGCATTCTTTGTCTTGGAAAAATAATCCCCAGGCCTCAGACTGGAGGGGAAAAAAATCCATGTTGGTTTCCTGGGCAATTTCTCTGTTTTTGTAACTGGTTTCTATTAAAGGTTTTGAGATGAATCCCAGGAATCTGCAGCTGACTGCATTCCAACAGAAGGGGGTGTTTAAATATTGTGCCATGCTAGACCAAGCTGTAGAGATGCCTTATGGCAAAGGATGCAGACAGAGCTCTCTGACCTGTACAAGGACAGTGCTGGAGGAGCACAGAGGCACTCCTGCACAGTGTTGGTGGATTCAGTAGGAGAGCAGCCTGCTTGCGTGCTCCGGTTTAACTCCTTTATGCATGCCTGAGTCTCCCCTAGGCAAGCTGCAAAGCTCAGTGCATTAAGCAGAAGATTAAAACCCTCTTAAGCTTCCATCTAAATACCTGGCATACCTGGACATTCACATTAATTGATTTATGCTCCAATGCCTTTGGCACAAAGGGAAGCAGAGTTTTCCAGCTGGAAAGCCAAGACAGGAAGAGTTGAATTGCCTGAAGAGGACAGCCCCCAGATAGCACTGTTCCTGGGCAGCCCTCTCATTCTGTTTCAGAAGTGCTTGGGTATAGCAGAGCTCAGACCACTGCAGTCACTACCTCTGTGGGGTGGGTTTGTGGACTTCACCTTTCCCTTTGCTGGAAACAGATTGTGCCAGGGTATTATTAACTATTTCCATCATATTGCTTCATACGTGCCTAGTGTAAATGGTGCTAGGGATGTGCCATTCTCATACACTACATGTATTTTCCTTAGCTGCTGCTTTGATGACTGTATCCCAGGCTGGTGATCACAGTGGGCTCCAATGAAGTAAAGCAGAAAAACCTCTGGCCAGACCCTCAAGTTGTCTTTCTGAGTTGTTCTTCAGAGAGGGCACAGCAGGGGCTTTATCACCTATGGGGAGGGAGCAAACATTGTAATGCTGGGTCTGAAAGAGGGACAGGGCTTGTCACATCGCTGGGATAATGACAGGCTTCACTTCACAGCCCTGTCATTGTGGTTGGCTCTCAGATTTGTCCTTTTAGTTCACAGCTCTTGCTGCAAGTTGGATTATTTCAGCCTTGCTTCTGGGACTCATTGCAGCTGAAAGCTTTATTGTAATGAGAAAAGCTTTGCAACCAAATGAAGCCACCCGGGAAGCACATACCCTGCGGTGATCCTCATGGTTCTCTGGGACACTGCTCTTTTCCACCAGCTCTGAAGGCTCCTCTGAGCCACACCAGGCCTTTCTTAGGGGGAGTGAATATGGGGCGTGTTCATCCCTTTGTGTGTTACAGGTTGATCACTATTGGCACAAAAAGGGTTATTTGAGCATATAGATGAATGGTATCAGTACACATCAACCCTGATGTGCAGTACCCCTCTTGCTGTTCCCATGCAAAGCTCTATTTCTTCTTCTGGTTTAGCTTTGTAGGATCCTTTCTCCCTTTGCTACTGACCTGTCAGCTTGAACTCTTTATTCCCAAGCTGTAGCATTCCCTATTACTTTTCAGTTCTAGGAATTATCCTTGCTTCTGCTCATGGGTAGGTGTTTTCTCCTTTGATCATGGCAGAGTATTATGGGTCCTGTATTTAAAGAGGATGTGAAGGAGCTGTTGGTAATAAGCATGGAGTGCTGACAAGTCCTGTCCATAAGGCCTTGTGCTGTGATTTGTATCTTTGTGTCAACAGAACATTCATCCTGGCATTCCTTTTTAATACATTCCATACATTTAGAGCTCTGAAAATGGGACAGAAGTGGCCACTTCCACTATGGCTTCCCAGGGTTAATAGCTCTTAAAAAGGCAATAGAGGGGTGGAGGATACCTCTTGGCATCAGACCTTCTTCCTAATCTCATACTTGGTGTTCCTATAGTGGTGGATTTCAGTTCAAATTCATAGGGAGGCAGCCTGTGGCCATGGAAAACCAAAGTAGTTAACATGGAAGGGATTGGGAAGAGGAAACTTCCTGGCTGACATGGCTTGCCCATTATTGTTTCCTGCAAGGCAAGCAATATTGTGACCCTGCACTGTCTTTGGGCAGGGATGTTTTTCCACCTGAGTCACCAGCATTTCATATCTGAAATAGATAAGAAATGGCTATTATATGAAATAGCTGTTTCCTATCACCATGTATTTGATATCTTAAACAGGGGTGACTGGAAACACAGGGGCCTTTCTTCTCCCTGTTAGCCTGCTCTGTGATGGGCTTGGCAGGTGCAGAGCCCTGGGATCAGAACCACTTGGTTGATGCTGGAAGGTTCCCCCTCATTGCATGGATGAGGCTGCTTCCTCTGGACAGGAGCTGTGGTCAGGGTGCACAGCTGTATGTATGTGCCGCAGCGGGCAGCTGGGAATCCATCCCCAAAGTACCTCAGGGAGGGAGGGAGGAAGGAGGAGGGCTGGGGAATGCTGCCCAGTTAGAAATCCAGCTCCTGATGGGGCAGTGTTGACACAGCTGCCTGTGCAGGAGCTTTTGGACTAGCAAAGCTCTGGAATACAGCACCGAGTGGAGACTGTGCAGGTTTAGAGTGAGGAAAAGGCAGAGATCAATGTGAGAACCCCCTGCGCCCCTTCCCTCCTCTCCCTCTGAACCCCGAGAAGCTCTTTGCTCAGTGCATGGTTTTCTTCAGGAGCCTTCAGTGGGTTCGGCCTCAACTTGGCTTCTTTCCGTCAGGAAATAGCCAGTTCATGACAGCAGCAACCACAGCAATCTGCGTCCATCCCAGAAGTCATGCGAGAAGCAGGCTGTAACCTCTGCAGTGCCAAGGCTGGGAGGCAGAAAGGTGGGAAAGCAACCTGGAATTGCAGCCTGGAAGGTTCTGCTTGTGGCTGAGAGAAAACAAGGGCAGGAGAGGGTGCTGGGTCTGCTGCCTGCGCAATGGGAACAGCTTCGTGCCCACAAGCCAAGCGTTTTCCAGGCTCTGCTGATGCAGCTGAACAAAAGGCTGTCAGATTGGAGCCTTTCCTCTGGCTCCATGGCCTGACAGAGAGCAAAGGCTCCTTTTGCCACCAGCCCAGCCCCTCAGCTGCTGTGGGTTGTATTGTCTGCCTTGTGATGGCTGAGCATCTGCAGCAGGTTTGCAATGGAGGGACATAGGAGGAGCCTTTGCTGCACGCAGGTGTCTGTGGAATTGGGTCAATGCAGATACCTGAGGCTCGCAAAGACAAGCCTATGGTTTGCATTAGGGTTATAATTGGACTGTATCTGTTCTGTACAGAGTGGAGACCTGCTGGAGCTGACAGCAGGCTTTTGCACGGACAAATTGTGTAATAGTAGCTCCAGTGGTTTCTTGGAATTTCTTAGGAAGTGTCTGGCTCTGTCTGCTGTTGACCAGGACCAACCATAATCTCACAGCAGCAAAGCAGAAAGCTTTCCCATATTTCATTTTGTACCATGTACTGCCAGCAGCTACAGTGGTGGGTGCTAGCTCCTGACATTATACTCCTGCAATCTGCCTGCAAGTCTTGTATTAAAAGACCCCTGGCTAGTTCAGCCACCTACATGGATTAGGCTCTTAGGCCTACACAAGGCTGGATTCAGATGGAGCCGTATTCCAAGTCTAAAGTGACATTTGCACCTTTCATACCCGTATCTGAAAGCACTTGGACTCGGTGTCTTTTACCATCTTTTCCCACTTGAAATAGGCTTTACCAGTGGAAATGAATCGCTGTTTTCAGAGCTTGGATTATGGGGAAGAGAAATGTCTTAATGCTTCTAGGCAGCAGAGGAGACTAACTTAAACCAGTTCTAAATGGTTTGTCAGCCTCAGGCTGCTGCCCTCTTTAGGTTAGGCTAAGGTTTCACCTGTTCCAACTGAGCATACACACAAAGGGGTCGATTTTCACTTGTGAAGCAGTGTTTGGCATTTAGGAACTTGCTGCTGCTTTCTCTGCTGTTTGTCACTGAGTGTTTTCAGTAACTGACTGCATTAACACCCCTAATCATAGTGGAACACAGTGCACTGGGTTATATAAACACAGTTAAACACACCAGTTCAGGCCTTAGGAACTGGGAGATGTCATTTAACAAGTATTTCCCTTGAGCAAAGAGTGCTGAAGATTCACTTGTTGCTTGACACTCTTGCTCTGGCTTGGTGCTGCTGTTGGGGCTGGTATTACGAGCACACAAAGGAGAAGAGCAGCAGTGTGTCGGGTCCTGGCTGTTGGTCTTGGTGCCAGCCACGTAACAACAAGCAGAGTTCAGTTCTTGTGTGAAGGCCTAAAAGCAGTTGTTCTAAGTCTGACCCAGCTTTGGCCCCCCATTGCAGTATTCTGGGGCTTTTAGTTGTGTTCTAGGCCCTTTTGCCTGCACTGCCTTAAGATCCCACATCCCCAGTCTCTCCATTATTACCCTTTTGCTAAGAAAGCTGCTATTAAACCCTTGCTTACAAATCACAGGACAGCGTATTGTTTTCTAGGTTGTCTTTGGTGACTCGAGCTTGAAGTAAAACCATATGAGGAGACAGAGATCGAAAACTGAAGGCAGCAGAATCACTCCAGTCTCAGGCAGACAGCTGGAGGAGTGTCAAACAAAGGAAGGAACAGCTGGATCAAGTAAAGCACAAGGAAAACGAGCTCCATCCCTCAGGGGGAGGGAGAAGGATTGTTTTGCGAGCCCAGAGCTGTGTGGGACCAGCTCTACCCCATCAAAGTGCACATCAAAGGCAGGGGCAGATCAGAAGGGCCCAGAGGGAGGGGAAAGAGCAGAGTGGGTGTTTGTAGGGACCGTGTAGAACGCGTTAGGGAAAGGAAGGAGGTGGAGGGGGAGAGTGGAGCGGGGAGGTGGGGAGCTGGAAGTTGGAGGTGGAGTAAGTGCCGAATATGAGCTGCTGTCCCCAGCTCCGGGATGGGAACTGATGAGGTCACGGGGATTTCAGTTCCCAAACAAAAAAGTTAGAGGGGGGGGGGAGAAAAGAAGCCTTCAACTTGTTTTTCCAGTGAGACGGAAACACGGAGACGCTGCGGGAGCGATGGAGCAGCTCGCAAAACTCCTCCTGTGGCAGATGGTGCTTCAGCAAAGTAAGCTCCTGGTGCTGGGTATGATGGGCTGGGGGTTGAACTGGTGACTTTGGAAAGGTTTGTTCAGGTTTAGGGGGAGGGAATCATGGATTTGTCATGGGAAAGGGGAGAGAATGGAGAGCTGTTGAGGGTTTAAATATACCCCAGCATGTTTGTGCAGTCTCTTTATTCCTATCAGTTACTTGATCAGCAAACTCCAAAATACTGAGCTTGAATGTGGGTACAGTAAAGCTTCTGTAGTGAGATTCACATAATCCAGGGTTATTTTATACTTTGGAAGAGGCAGAACCAGACGATGTTTGTGTGAGGGTTCAGGATGGAGGGGAAGAATGGAATGTGGGGGGTTCTGTTTGGTTTGGGTTTGTTTTTTCTGGTCAGCATCAAGTTAGAGACAGAGGAATTCACTTCTGGGTAAGGTGCAAGAAGGGGCTGAGAGCTCACAGGGGCAGAATGGCTTCTACCTGTTCCTTAATCACAGAGTTTCCTGTAGGAGCTGAAACAAGATTCAGTGTTCTGAGAGCATCCCCTCGAGCTAAACAGAGAAACCCCAGGAAGGCTTGGATGGCAGGAGAAGGTTTGGGGATTAATGCATACCTCCACCAAAGCCATGCTTTGGGCTCTAAGGAAGCGCCTCAGAGCAAAGGACCACTTCCAGCTCCAAGAACTGATGGTAGGAAGCAAGGAGCACTGGTGACCCCCTGCAGTTCCCAGCCCTGCTAATGGAAGGCTGAGGCACCTGAGCCTCTCTCAGCATTCCTCAGCAGGCAGATGGAGGGAGCTGGAGAGTTCTCACTTTGGTCCCTAATTAGTTTCCATGTCACCACATCATCCCTGGTTTTGCAATGCCTCAAGGCAAGGTTTAGCAATTGGCAACGTATGGGATCAGTCGTAGGGACAGAAGGGTTAAAGTGGCTCAGAAAACCAGTGTGTGGGGCTGGGTTAAGCCTAGAGGAGGGGGAGAGGCTACATGGTGGATTTCAGAGGCACCAACCAGTCCAGCTACTCCCCAGTGTGGTTTAGCACGTCGGCAGTGCTTGGGGAGTGCTCAGGGCAGGAAGAGCAGGTTGGGTTGCTGTAAAGCAGTGGGGAAGCTGCATAGAGCCAACAGCATCCCACCCAGGGATGGGTGATCTCTGACAGGCTCTTTTGAGGTGTATTTTAGAGAGAAAGCAGTCTGTATGCCAGGCAGCCCTGATGTTGGAGTGCTGCTATCCCCATACAAGCCAGTTTATAACATAATGAGCGAATAGAAAGAGGGGAGAAGGGAGGAAATCGGTGCTGTTCCATATTTGATCCTTTCTGGAGAGAAACCACACCCTCAAGTGTTAATGTCTTGCAGGGAGGAACAACACTGTGTTTGGAATGGCTCTGCAAACTAGGCTGTGGGCCTAGAGCCAGCGTGAAGTACACAAAGCAGAGAAGGGCTTATAAATCTCAGCTAATATCTGAAGTGGCTGTGAGAAAGTTAGGGCAAAGCTGTGAAGGATCCTGGTGGTGCAGTGGCCAAGATGGGGATCAGTTTCTTGTCCAGGCAATAGGCTTCCTTTCTGCTGAGGTAGCACATTCTTGCTTTCTGCCAATTCATGGGCATGTTCCTACCTGCAGTGAGGTGCTGGAAGTGTGGGGATTAGATGGGTAGTTAAGGGCTTTCCAGTGCTGACATCCTCTATGGAAGCAGAAGACTCTGCTGCTGGGAAAGCTGTTCAGGAAGCCTTTAAAACTGAACAGAGACTTAGATCAAAGCCCAGTTTAAAGGCTGGCTTTGTAAGGGAAGCCTTGGCTGGAAAGCTTGGTCTTGCAGTCCTAGGCCAGCAGGACTGATGGGGAGTGGGACATGTCTAGGTGGAACTGCACTGCTTCCCACCTCCCTCCTTGGCCTCTTTGAGGTGGGCCCAGATATTAGTCCTGGTTACTGGTCAGTGGGACTTAAAGACATAGCAGTGAGAGGAGAGCTGAGCCCATTTGTGTCACTGTCACCTTGATGGCACTGCATCCTGAGCCATTATGGCTCCTTAGATGAGGGGTCAGCTCCCTGAGGAGCCAGCATGGAGCCACTGCCACTCTCCAGAAGTGTTTGGAAATAGCTTGGTAGCACAAACTGCTGGTTTTGCAATAACTGTGGTGGCTCTACAGAGACCATTAAATCCCATGCATAAGTCTCCCATGGGATTTATGGGAAAGCTAAGGAATCTGACACAGATTTTGTGAAAAACATGTCATTTCTCTAGGACTGGAGCATCCCTCTGTGCTGCTAATGTCAAATGATGTCTCTTCCTTTTTCAGAAGAGCAAAAGAAGCTGAGACCAGGAGATAGCAGGGAGGGTGTGCAAAAGAACAGTGAGCTGAGCTTCCTTAGGCAGGCAGTGTCAGCCTCACAGACCTGGTGGGTTATGGCACTCACTTCTCCAGTGGCTCCTTTTTCTTTCCAGCTCTGTGCTACGGTGTGGGTTCAGTGATGCTTATTGCCTCCCAGGGCTCAGTCCAGGCAGCTTCTCCTTGCTCTGCTGATATCAGGGGCAAGGATCATGCTAAGCTCAGCAGAAGCACTGCTTGTAGAGCTCGTGCTGTCATGTCCCATGCAGTGTGCATGGCGCTCAGGCAAGCGCTTCTGGTGTCTGCAGTTTCCTTTTCTGCTCTGGTAGGCTTTCACCCCCCCCGGTATGAGACAGGAACTTAGTGGTTTCATTAGCACATGCATCTACCTGTGAAGCAGGCTCTCTGCCAGCAGCTGTCTCCAGGAGAAGTGGTGGCATTGTTCAGGCAAGACTCAAGGGACAGTTTTGTGTTTGAGCTGTTCCAGGGATGCTGCCTGGAGAGCTCGGATGTGTCAGATGTCTTGCAGAGCCTGAGGCTTCCCCTTCTAGTTCGCCTGCAGTTTTTGTGGCTTAATTCTTCCCTTGAAAAGTGGATGGGATTCAAGAAGTACGAGCTGGCTCTGCCTTTTACAAGGGATTAGGAAATGCTTTTGCAAGCTGCTTTCCTCTTCCTATATTGTGGAACCAGCAGTACGCGCCTGGGATCCCGCTGAGGGGTGTGCTGAGTGCACAGAGCATGGCAGAGCACGGCGGCTAGATGTCTTTTTGTGGGTACATCACCCAGAGAGGACAAAGCGATTATGCAAAGCTCCAGGGAGTTCCGTGCTGGTGACTCTTGAGGCATTTGGTGGTTTTGAAGCTCCAGGTCCTGGAATCCTGTGATTGCAAAACTGAGCTTTCACTTGGTTTTGCAGTTGCAGGTGACTCACCAGAACAACTGCTTCCAGTTTCCCCCAGTCCTGTGGTTCGTAAGCTGTGAACTTTGCTGGGTTATGGATATAACTCTGCCTTTGTTCAGGAGCTACCGGGTTAGACAAACAATAACTGTAAAAAGCATGGCTGGGGGACATGGCTTGTTTGCACTGCTTGTCTCACATAGCAGAGGAGACTGAAAAGGGAAAAAGGCTTATTCCTTCTTTACCCAGTGCTCTGTGCTCAGGTTATGGAAGGTCACTTGTTTTCAGTTGTGCTTTCTCCAGGCATACAAGAGATCCGAGACATTCCAGATTCCTTAGATTTCTAAGTGATCTCATTTACAGCTATGGCCAATACATTTGAGTCTTATCCATGACCTGATGTATGTGGTGCAGATTGCCAGCGCTGCTGGGGGACCAGAACAGTCAGTTCTTCCTTCTTTGTCTTGTGGAGCTCCCATGCCTCTTGTAAGGACTTGTCAAAACAGCAATATGGTAAAATGCAGGCAAGCCATCAATGGACTCTTCCCTTTTCCCAGTGGGAAACAACATCTCCTGGTCACTGAGAGCAGACCTAGGAGTGTAATTGTCAAGTAAGTGAGAGTGCTCCTGCCCTGTTGCTTAGGGAGGGAAAGAGAAGCTGTCAAACCCACAAGACACGAGCTTTTCTTATCTAGAAGCTGTCACATCAGAGAGCTTCGCTGCTTCCTTGCTTTATAGGGAGTTGTGTTTGGGAGCTGCTGGAGAAATGCCTGTAACTGAGCCAGCCCAGCCTGGCTAAAAGCCCCTGTGGGTGGGATGGAGTTAGGACCTGGGTGGTCCTCACCATGCCAATGGGGCCAGCTAAAAGATACAGGCCCAGGGGTTAGTGCTGGTATGATGTTGGGGCTGTGAGAGGCTGCTGAGCAGAGCACATTGCAAGGCTTAGGTGGATACTTTGGTTGTTAGATTTATGATGCTGCCTTTGGGCTCAGTGTTTTTTACATTAACTTCCAAGAGGAAAGGAGGAAAGTGAATGCATTCCTCTGCCTGAGCCAGGAGAGGATGTTTCTGTAGCACCAAATCAGCTGGCTGTTCATGAGCAGCAATGCAGGACTGTGGAAGCTGTGGCTGTGCAGCCAACAGCTCTCACACCCCACTCCCTAGCACACCATCACTGTGCGTGTCCTGATAACTGTGTTCTTCCCTTGTCACAGGGCAAATACCAACTCAGGCACATTTGTCACGCTGATCCAAGTGGATGCTGTGCTGAGAGCACGTTGTCCTGCTGCAAGTGAGACTGATTTCTCCTAGAGAAGGGTGGTTTGGTGCTGTGAAAGAGCTTTGCATCATTCCTTTGTTGTTCTAAGCTAAATCTGTGTCCTGGCTTCCACAGACAGAGGTTGGCAGCTTATACATTACCATCAGGCATTTTGGGACCTGTTAGGACAGGCCATCAGATGATGGAATTATAATGTCATGTGTATGATGTGTCTTTCTTATATCCAGGGCAGCACATCTTTGTCCAAGGTTTGTACGTGTCATGCTGAGATTATAACTGTATTAAAAAGACCTTACATTAGGAGTGGCTTTGAACTGGCAGCTCAACAGTGCTGCTCAGTTTTGTTCTCTAGTGGCACTGCCCAGGCCTTTGTTGATAGGAAAAGCAGAGCAAATGGGGTTTATTCTCAGCCCGTGCACTGGGAGTGGTTAAAAGAGGCCCAGTTTGGAGTGAATTTATTCTCTTTTGGAATTCCCAATTCCTGGGTTGAACAAGAAATGCAGCCTTTGTCCGGGGGACGTTGTGCCCATGACATTAGCAGGACAAAACATCTAATGATCTTGCTGGAACCCATTTGGGTTTGACTGCTTGGAGATGAACGATGTCATTGTGTTGGGCATCTGATCCGTGCCCTCAAAGCGTGATGCCAGGAGACCTCCTCACCCCCTCCTACACACAGAGCAGGAGGGACTGGACCAGAGAAGTGCAGAGACAAAGGCATGAGTTCAGTTCTTGCAGAGTTCTTCCTGCATAGATCTGAGTCACATGAGTTGGAGAGAGTTGCAGCTGCACCCAGAGCATGCCCCATCCCTGGCAGTGCTCAAGGCCAGGCTGGACACAGGGGCTTGGAGCAAGCTGCTCTAGTGCAAGGTGTCCCTGCCCATGGCAGGGGTTGGAACTGCATGAGCTTTAAGGTCCCTTCCAACCCAAAGAATCCCGGGAATATAGTGCTAACTGTACAGACCAGGAATGTGAGCAGAAGAGTCTCTGGGGAGGATGCTCCCAAATGATGGATGTGTTTGCCCAGCATGAGTGTCATGTCATAGTGTGAAGCAAACCAGCTCAGTCATAGCACTCCTCATCTGACTAACTCAGCATACCCCAGAGTTACAGAATTCCCTCAATGCTTTAATCCCACCATCAAGTTTACAGGAGGTTGGTTTGGAGTCTTGGAGGTGAAAGTTGACTTTTGGCCTTCGATTACTACAGTAACTGCTGCAGCATGGACTGACCAAGGTCTGAGCCTCTGGACTTAACCACATTACACATGTTAAACAAGTGTATGAACAGAGAATAGGTGGAATGATAGAGGAGGTTGCTGCTGTCTGTGAGCAGATTTGGAGCTTTTCTTCTATTTGTTGTCAGTAACACTCTCTTTTCTCTTTTGACAGGTTCTGTTCATTTATACTCAGGTGAGTGATCTCTTTGTAATATCTCTGGTCATGAGAAGAAATGAAGGGGCTTTGATTCCGTGACCTGCACTGGGGGTTTCAGTGCTAACTACATGGACTGTATATCCCATGAACTGGTGTTTCCAAACCTTGATTAAACTGGGGGTGAGCTTTAGGAGGGATAGGTCAAATCTGCAATCCTGCTAACACACATCATAGACATTGCTTTCACTAAATGAAATCAGTGTTTTTAAATGGCTCTTTATTGCATTTCTCCATGAGAGAGCTCTGTCTTGGTCTTGAAAGTTCCTTTCTTTCAGATGGAAGGTGCAGAGATTCTAGGACGGGTCTGGTGCCTTCTTCACATGCCATAAATCTGGTAACTCTGGTTTTTGCTTCTGGTTTCCAGTCCCAGCTGATGCCTCCAACCCCCAGAACAGTGTTGTAGTGTCAGTGCTGAACATCAGTGCTGCAGTGGGCTCTCAGGCTGTGCTGCCCTGCAAGAGCTACCGCATGGTGTGGACCCAGGACCGCCTCAACGACCGCCAGCGCGTGGTGCACTGGGATGTGTACAGCAGCTACTATGGGGACAAGATGGAGAGGCTGTGTGACATGTACTCTGCTGGAGCTCAGCGAGTCTACAGCTCCTACAACCAGGGCAGGATATTCATGCCCCAGAATGCATTTACAGATGGCAACTTCTCCTTGGTCATCAAAGGTACTAAGCAGCATCTTTTCTCCTTGTGCAACCTGCAGAATGGGGGGATTAACTTGGTGTTTTCCAGTGAAAATGGCTATTTTCTATCAATAAATAGATACCAGGTAATAAGGTACACGAGGTTATCTGAAGCACTGATAACAGTGTTCTATTTCCCTTTGAAACAGTCCCATTTTAAAAGAGAATTGATAGCAACTCGTTGCCTGTAAGTGACATGGTCTTCTTGTGGGCCTTTGACTGCATTTCAGTTCCCGAATTTGAAGACAAGATTGTCATTCTTCCTGTTCCTGCTCTTTGCTAAACTGAAATCATCTTTCTCTTTCCATCTATTAATACAAATATGTTAAATAGAAGAGCAAATCACCTGAACACATTATTGTATTAGGGGAGGTGATTCTTCTCTGTTTACCCTACCCTGGCAATCAGGATGGGTTAGAATTAAGTTACATAAAGGCCCTTTTGCATCCATATGGGCATTTGGGAAACAGTGTAGATGACAAAAGTAGTCATTGCCTAAGTATAGAACATTGAACTTCCCCCCTCTTCCCTGTTTTATAGATGTTGAAGAGAGTGATGCAGGCACCTATTCTTGTAACCTTCACCATCACTACTGCCACTTATATGAAACTGTGAAAATCCGCCTAGATATCACCAAGAAAGGTAAGTGTGGTGTTCCTTTCTGCAGGGACTGGCAACTTTGGTGGCATGTGCCAAACAGTGCACGGAGCCTGGTGGGTTAAATGTTTTCTCTACATGTTTCCTGCTCCAGCAATGGAACATCCCCAGTAACAATCCATCATCAGTCAGGTTGGCCACAAAGATCTGCTGTGTGCATTGGCTGGGGAGCTTACCCTGAGAAGCCTGTAGTTAAAAAGCCTCCCCAAGTTACCACACCTTAACTCCTGCTCTAAGAACAAGTTTCTAAGGGCTGGTGGCAACTGCAGTGTGTGCCACCCATGCATCACTGTCATGCCATTTAAATCTGTGTAGTGCACAAGTGAAGCTACTGGGGCTGATTGTGCTGGAAACTGTTGAAATGCTGGTGGCATGGTAGAGAAATGCATCTCTTCTGTTGTTCTCACAGCTTCTACGCAATAAAAACAGTCAGACAGGGCCTGTGAGCCCCAATCTGCTCATCTGTGTTTTGGTTCTTCTGTTATTCCTTGTCAAGAACGAAGTACTGAGCACTGCTTCTTGAACTCCTCCAGTAATTAGGGCATTTGTGGGTAGAGAAGCATTTCCTGCATGGAGGATTGGGATGCAGCATGCTGAAGATGAAATCTGTTATTCCTGTTCCCTTCTTAGCCTGCAGAGAGAGTATCCTTCCTGCTTTCTGAAACAAGGGATTAACTTTGTTGTAAGGAAAAGAAAGTGGTCTTGCTTAATGCATTGACCTAGGATGCAGAAGATAAAGGTGTGTTTCTTTACTGACTGCTGAAGTAAGTGTGAACAAGGCATTTCCAGATCTTTGGAGGGGATGTCTTAGAGGATTGCAAGGTCTGAGAGCAGTCTTAGGTGAGCCCGGGTGTCTTTAAGAGTAGGACAAAGATGCACACAGCAAGGTTGCACAGCTTGTGTTGTCTCCACAGCTGAAGATGCAAACCAGTACTGGGATGGGGAAATGCCAGTGATTGTTGCTCTGGAAGGCAGCACGGTGATGCTGCCCTGTGTGAACCACAACCACATCTGGACTGAGCGGCACAGCGAGGAGGAGCAGCAAGTGGTGCACTGGGACAGGCAGCCACCGGGGGTCCCTCACGACCGCGCCGACCGCCTCATTGATCTCTATGCATCTGGGGAGCGCCGCTCCTACGGGCCTCTCTTCATCCGTCAGAAGATGAACATCACTGACACAGCCTTTGCCCTGGGTGACTTTTCCCTGCGGATTTCCGAGCTGGAAAGCGCAGATGAAGGCACTTACTCCTGCCACCTGCACCATCACTACTGTGGCCTGCATGAGCGCAGGATCTACCAAGTCTTCGTGACCGAGCCAGTGAGAGAGAAGAAGGTGGTGAACCTCACAACTCACAACGTTGCCCCAGCCATAGGTAAGTGGCCTCTGAAGTGGTTCTGATTGAGGAGGAGATAAGTCTCTCAGTTGCATCTTTAAGCTCTTAAATGCTCAGTAAGCCACAGGAATAGAACACATCACTCCCCACCATCACCTCGGGAGGCCAAAGCGTCCTTGCCTTTCCTGTCTACCACAGTGGTCTGCAGGGATCCCTCAGTGCCAGCAGTTGGGAGTGTTGTCAAGGCAAACCTGTGCCCTGCGGAAGTGCCATAGACACCCCAGAAGTGAAGGTGTTACTTAGAGCAGCACTGAGGTTTCCTTTATGAAGGTTTCTCACATTTGAGTCAGGGCTGTTCCTATCCTCAGCATTAGAAGAGTAGGTGAGGTCTTGCTTCCCTCTCCACTAGTATATGGCTCTAGTATATTTGTCTTGGTTGTTTCTGAGCTGTGTCCATTGCTTTGGTGTACCTGGAGCTGCATGTGTAGGATGCTAGTGAGCATCCTGTAGAGCTGCTTTAACACTGCTGCACCAAAGTGGGTGTCAGGGTGTCACCCGTCAGGGTTAATTAGCTATAGTGCCATCAGGTCCAGCTCCAGGGCAGCTCTGCAGCCTGTTCTGCTCTCTAATGCTGACATGCCCTAAGGCAAACAAGCTGTTTTTCTAACAGCCTCCCTTTCCTGGTTGCTTTTATGAAGGTGTGGGGCTGAGGGGCCCATTCTGCTTGCCTTTGCTGTTACTACATGGTGTAGATCACAGGTGTGGGTTGTTCCTCCCCCCTTTGCACAGGGTTTGGGCTGTGCAAGAGGCCAGACTGTGCAGAACTGAGCACCAGGAATTTTCCTTCTCCCTTCAGCTTTGCTTAAACCAATCTTCCCATTCTCCAGTGCAGTTGAGCTCTCATCTTTGAGCCTGCCCAAGCTGAAACCCATCAGGCTCAGTTCAGGCAGCAAAAAAGAAACCAAAGATCCCAAGTTCAATATTTAAGTCTTTTGGGTCTAATTCCTTATTGCCATTTTGAAACATTCATTGTGGTTTAATATTTATTGACTGCTTCATAGAGGATTTTGACATGTTTAAATAGGTCTATTCTGCTGGAGCAATTGCCTTTGTCAAGTCACAGAAACCTAAACCTGTCCCCTGGGACTGAGCTTGGTGTCCAGGAAAGCCAGGCAGTGCTGCAGGGATGCGATGCTGGGGCTGAGCTGACATGGGAGCCAGGCCATACAAATACCATTCTCACTGCCTGCTGCCCCTGAGCCCTCTCCAGATCCCATTGTGCAGATGGAAACTAGATCTTGTGGTCAGAGTTGCCCACCCAGGAACTCGTTCCTCCCTTTCCTGGCTGTTGTCCTGCCTGCTCCGAAGTTAGAACCTACCAGGTCTGTGTAAGCTTGGAGCAGGAGGAGCTTGGTCTTCATGAGAAAAGCCATTGCCACTGTCAGAAAGAACAGTCTTGGAGAGCTTTGTCCCCCGAGGGCAGTGAACCCTCAGCCGGTCTGGGAGCACCACACACAAGAATGTGCTGAGTCTATGGGAATGAGAAAGAAGCTGAGACATCCGGAGTGCCTGTTTCCAGCCCACTGCTGATGGGGAGCCTGCTGGGACCTGTCCTGTTTATGTATAGCAGAATGGGCTGAGGTGCTGCCCCGTTCCATGAAAGACCCTATAGAATGTGGGGACAGGACATGAAACCAAAACGAAACATCAGGAGATAAGAGAAGCAAAACAAAGAGCTTTTTGCAGCAAGCAGCTATAGTTTTTGGCCTATCTCCAAGGCCTGGAGCCATTTTCAGACAGGAAACTCCATCCTGTTTTGAATATAAGCATGAGTTCAGTTCTGCTCTCAGTCTCAGGGATCTAAATGTGGTATGTGTCTGCTAACTCAGTGCAGTTTTACTCTGCCTTTGCTTTGGAGCAAGTGACTGGAGAATCCCATCTGTTGTGTCTCATACCTATTGCTGAACTCAGTCCTTTGTCAGTCTTGGGACACATACCCAGCATTTAGGAGCTGTCTTTCTGGATAGCTCTTTACTTCTCCCAGCAGAAGAATCTAACCCTTTATACCTCTGTCATGTTCTTCCCCCCATTTGGAACTCCTTTTCCAGTAGTTAAACCATATCCCATGAGTGAATTAGAGGCAGATGGATGTGCTATGTTGAGATGTACTGATCAGATCATGGTGACAGAACAAGCCTTCATCAGCCTTAGTTATGCTGTTCTAAGCACTGACAGATACTGGGAGCAACTCAGTCAATTGGTACTCAGTGCCTCAGTTTCCCCAGTTAAAAAATGGGATACATCCTCCTGCCTGCCTGGTGATGCCCATTGGTGATGCTCAGTGGGTGATGCCCATTGAAGTGCAGCAGTGATGCCCTCTCAGAACACTAGTATAACATATGTTTTTGCTATAACTTGAGTAAGCCCAGGAGGCCCAAAGCTGTTGAGTCTCTGTTTCCACTGTTTGTTGTTACAGTGACCTCTCTGATGTTGACTAAAGTTTAACTCAGCTCCATCCCTGTCTCACAGCATGGTGGGCAAACAAAAAGCCAGGAATAGAACACATTTGTGTGTGCTGACTTCTGGCTCGAGTGCTGCTCCAGTGGCTGCCATCTCATCGTGGCAGCTGCTGAAGGAGATCCAGAGGTTTCCTAAAGCAGGACTGTCACATAGACTGTTTGCAGCTTTGCAAGTGGGTTTGTTGGTTTGGGATGGGTTTAGCTTAGCAGTGGTGAAAAACACATGCCAGTTTCCAGCACTGCAGCCAGCAAGCACACAGCATCAAGCAATGCCAGTGTAAAGTGGAATATTACTGGAGTGGAAGGCTACCAGAGCAGAGCATATGCTAAATCCTCTCACTTCTCTAGGACTGGTGTTGCATTAGCAGCATCAGCCCTGGCTTCAATGTGTTTCAATCCATTATCATCTTACTTGAGTTGTTGTTGGTGGGTTGGTGTTTTTAAAGGCTGGAGACAAACTGGAACCAGTTTGTCAGCATTCCTCACGTTAGGGCACATCTGGTAAATGGCACTGTGGGTTTGGGGGTGTTTCCCCCATCTTTCCCCTTTATTCCTCTGACCAGTTTACAGGCTTGAACTCCCAAGGGAGTGGTAGAACTGCACACTGGTGCCTGCCTGGTGCTCTGTGGCCGGTCCCTGTTACGGGGTGAAGGTGTCCCATTCAGCTCTGTTCTGAAGAGCAGAGCTCCCAGCACAGGGGTTTGCCTGTGCCTGGGCTGGATTTGTCCATTCCTCTGCCTGCTGCAGGCAGAGCATTCGCTTCCTCTTTCTATGTGTAAAACATTGACCTATTTATTTGAGATGTACAAAAATGTTCCACGTAAAGGGTTTTGAGTTACCCTTTCCTGCGCTGCGGAACTGAAGCGCGGCTGCACCCACAGATGGAATCTTGGCTTCTCTTGGGGGGGTTTATTTATTTTATTGATTTTTCTTTTTTTTCAATAATTTTATTTCAAAGGAAACTCATTCTTTGGCATTGAAAATTCCTCCCACTCTGTAAATTATAACCCTTGGCAGGGAGGGGCTGCTTCATACTTCAGCTGTCTGGAGGCCAAGCAGCGTGGTGTGTGTGTGTTGTGAGGGACCCAGAGGAGGGTTTCGTTACCCTGCAGAAAGACCTGGGCCTGTTTAATGTCACTTCTTGCTGGACTGGCCCTCTACAATGAACAAGGACATGCTCATAGCCAGGCAGCAGGAAGGGAATGTGCAGCAGTCACTGTATTTCATGCTCCTGGGAAGTATAATGTTCCTGTGAAGAGAGGAGGCATCTTCCATCTGACAGAGGTGCAGTATGTTGTGAATTAGGCTGCTATTTGCCTTTTGCTTCATGCCATTCACTGAACATGCTTTTCAGCTCCTTCAGAGTCACTACATGGCCTGTACTGACAGGTCAAGGGGGAATGGCTTTAACCTGCCAGAGGGGAGATTGAGCTGAGCTCTTAGGCAGCACCTTCCCTGTGAGGGTGCTGAGGCGCTGGCACAGGTTGCCCAGAGAAGCTGTGGGTGCCCCATCCCTGGCAGTGTTCCAGTGTTCCCTTCCCATCTAAAGCATTGTAGGATTTGGGTCCCTGTATGGGCCCACGTGTGACTGTGCTTTGTTTTGGGTACCAATTACAACCATCAGCCTGTTCTCCTTCTCCTCTGCCATCAGATCCAAACGTTGTCAGGGGCCACAATGTGATAAATGTCATCATTCCCGAGAGCCGGCTGCACTTCTTCCAGCAGCTGGGCTACATCCTGGCAACTCTGCTGCTCTTCATCGTCATCCTCATCATTGTGGTGCTCATCACCCGCAAGCGCCGGCAGAGAGGTGAGTGCTGGAAAACACCAGCCCTGATGGTGCCTGTTGGGGTAGCTCATGGCAGCAGAGCTGGCTCGGCAATCACTGCACAGCACAGTGCTAAAGGCAGTGATGCTCTCCTGGAAACCAGCAACATAGCTCACTGGGGAGGCCTTTGCCGGTGCTGATGCCAAGAGAGATTCATTAGTTTGGTGTAAAAACAACTGCTGAGTAAGGGGAAGGGTGGCATTGGAACACACCTGAATTCCTGTTTATTGGAGGGGTTGTGGAAGTGACCATCGTGAGCATCACAAATGAGGAGCATTGTGAATAAGCCTAGAGTGTTGTGGTGCTGTGAATGCTGCTCTGTGGGAGGGCTTGGTTGGGCTGGATACAGCTGCTCATTCTGTTTCTTCTCCCTGTTCAGGTTATGAATACAATGTGAAGAAATATGGAGAGTAAGTACAATTACAGCATCTGTTATCTAGGACTAGAATGTATGAAAATGAACTTGTGGGTTTCAACCCTCAGCTGTCACTTAGAGCCTAAACCAGCTGAGGATCTCATTAGTAGCCATGTAAAGCACAGACTGTTTGATAGAGTTTATTCATTGCTTTCCCTCAATTCTTTTGCAGCTTTATACTCCAGTTATTATTAGTGTGATGTTCCCAGGAATATATCCTTGCATGATGATTGCATGTTAGGGAGCAATTGAATCTCCTCTTGTTATACTTTGGGAGCTGATTCACAGATGATGTTCTGTGAGATGTCAGTAGGAGGTAGTGGTGAGAGGGTCATGCACAGATGTGAGATGGTTCCTTTGTGTTTTGCTGTATATTGTTAAAGTGGAAGAGATGGGGAAGTTCCAGTGCAGATTGGCTCCTTGTTGTTCTAAGCTCTGGACAAACACATGGGGAAAGAAGAGCCACAGCCAGAGATCTGGAGGTGTTAATGGAAAAGACAGTAAAAGGAAGAGAGAGGAGAACCAGATTCCTTAGTAAGCAGTGTGACCTTCTGGAATCTGCTAGTTTAAGGGCAAAGGCAGGAAAAGCACCCATGTACAGTGGTTGCCAGTGCTGTGATCTATCTGTCATGCTTCGGATAAACAGTGTCACTTCAGTTCTCTAAAGCAGCATTAGGAATGCTGTTGTGACAGAGTGTGACAGCAGCCAGTTGTTAAAGGATGTGACCATTCTTCACTGTTGTTCCTTTTCAGGAAGGATGTCAATCTGAAAGAGTTTACAGTCGACACAACAGATCTGACTCAATACAGAAGCGAAGACATCAGGCTGGGTATGCACCAACCAGCAGCCGTTCTCCAAACCAGGTCAAAACTGGTTGTAACTGAGGCCCCAGAGGTGTACACAGAAGCTGAAGTAAAGAACAAAGGGATTGCAAAGGGTGGGTTGGAACCAGGACAGCAGCAAGTCCAAATCCTTCCTTGTGTGTCTCGGGAGAGCCCCCCTAGATAAGTGCATCAGTGACCTTCACCTTCCAGCATTGTGTTATATGCTGGAAGACGCTGTGGTACCTGTGAGGAGCAGGAACCTGAAGTATGCATAACTGATTAGTGCCAGGGGCAAAATTTAAGTCGTAGCAGCTTTCCTTTCCCTGCTGAGTAAGCCCATGAGTTATTCCTGGAGATCTGGAGATGCCAGACCCGGAGTACTGCAAGGAAGGACCCATCACATACCTGCCTTGCCTGTAAAGTGTTGTTTGCTTTTAATGTCCTAATGGCTGTGTGAATTATACTCCTCCCTTACACAGATTACAAAAACAACATCTTGAAGGAGAAGGCTGAGCAAGCCAGAAGCTTCCCAGCAAAGAACATTGATTTAGACAAAGGTAATAACGACTTGCTTCCCCCTAATTGGTGGCTGCAGGAGCCTTCTGATGGGTTGCAGGAGGGAAGGACACAGTTTAGCAGGGAGCTGACCAAGCCACAGCCGAATGAGGAATGATAAACATCATGACAAATGGCAGCAGGAATGAGAACCTAGTTGCCTTGCTATGCTTTCATCATGGAGCCACAAGATGCAAGTGGTGATTAGGCTCTTAAAGACTTCTGGCGTGGCACACATAGATTCTTTGCTTTATTGGAAAAAGAATGCCTGGCAGGGCTGGAATAGTGCATTCTGTAACCTCAGAGGGAGGTGTAGCTCAGAAATGTCCTGGCATGGTGTTTGGGATGAAAACACTGTGCAGAAGAGAGTGTTTAGAGCTGAAGTAATTTATGGGTAATGGGCAGGCACTTACTTCATCCAACAATAGCAAACAACTCTGCCTCTCGAGGGGCTGAATCTCCTTTTGCTTATCCAGTATTAATGCTGAGCATTGTGCCTCAGTTTATAGAGTCATCCTTATGACAAACAGGGCTTCTGAGTTGTTGTTGACTCCGCTTATGAATTTAGAATGTAATAAATGAGACTAAAATGCTATCAAGAAGGGAATGGTCTGGAGAATCCATGGATTGCCTTAGACCTTGATGGAGTTCTAGTGCTATTCTTGCCTATGTTCTGCAGAGATGATCTGTGCAATAGTTTATTCCCAGTAAATCTCACTGTGGGCTTTACAAAGAGGGTACTGGGGACATGGTTGACTGCACATGGTCACTTGTCACTGTGTGGCTGACTCCCTGTTACTGTGTGCTGCTCTGGACGGTTTGAAGTCTCTCTCCAGTTACTGACCTCCTTTTCATTTGCTTTCAGATTTCAGGAAGGAGTACTGTAAATGAAGACATTCCCAAGCTGCTGGCTGGACCAGAAGCTTCAATCAAAGATAGATAAATAGAAGAGAGATGCCTTTTCTCAATATCATGTCTCTCCAGTTACCATAGATCTTTTCACGTAGACTTCTCCCCACTAAGCACAAGGGTATTTGCAAATGCTTTTTGAAAGAGTTAGATTGTCTTATGTGCACTTACAATGGGTTTGGGTTGCCTTTTCTTCTTCTGTTCTCTCAATCCTCTATTCCCCTTCTTCTTTCCTGATATTATTGTTGGTTTTATGCATCAATGATTTTTATGAGCTGAATCAGCAGACCTTTTGCTTTGATGTTACTGCTTTGAATAAACCAACCTGCATCACTCATCCTGAGCCATCATTATATCAGGCAGTTTTCCATGTAGTGTATTCGTCAGGAAGATAATAACAGAGCCTGATTGTGATCTCTCATAGGGAGGCATAAATCAGTGTCACACAACACTTGGTATATTCCAGGTCAAGTACAAAGAGTAGACCCCTTCGATGTAAATACCTTATATTATGAATGGGGAAAAGGGAGGCTCACAGATGACCAAGGGTAGGGTTGGGATCAGCTCCAAAGAGCTCTGGAAGCCTCACTCTGTATTTCTCACGCTAAGCTTGTTTGTTGATTTGTTTTTGTTTCAGTGCAAACCAAATCAAATTTGGCAGGAGCAGACACATTCAGCTGAAGGTGATGGAGTTACAGTGCTGTAAAACCAGTCTCAGTTAGATCAGGACCAGGAATGTTATGGAGAGGGCTAAACTCCTGTGTGGAAACCTGGGATGTGATTTTCCTGCAGTCCTTGGGTGGATCCAGGCCACACAGAGCTTGTGTGCACATCAAAACCAAGGTATGATTACAGCACAGGTAGACAGATAAAAGGAATAGCTTCCCATGAGCAGACCATAAGGAGCAAGAGTACCAACACTCTGCAGTCAAGAGCCTGTCAGGGATGTTCATGGGCCAGGGTCTCAGGAGGGGAGTTGAGGAGGGAGAGGAATTCATTCTTATGGATTTTGGCATTGTTTTGGGGAGCAGATACCTGAGATAGTGGGGCTGTGGGCTGAAGGGGAGTTCTACATTTGAACACTGTGTCAGGTGGGGATGTCAGTACATCAGAAGTCAGTAATTCAGTGTTGTAACCCCAGCAAGTTAAAACATTAGGAAAGCTGCAGAATATTAACAGTTCTACACAGCTCCTCTACTACTTGGGATATTCTGTGGCACCATTCCCAAACCAGGCACTCCTGTGGTCCTTGGAGCACAGAAGAAAAGCTCTTTCCTACTGTTGATGACAGTGGCTTGTGTTCTTGTTGTGTAAGGGTGAAAGAGGCCAAGGATTGCCACTACGTCTACTCTGGTCTGAGGAGAATGGCAGAGGGAGGGACTGCGCATGGGCTGGTGACTGAATGGGACTGGGGAAGGTGTCTCCAGGATGATGTGAGTGGTGGAAGCGTGAAGAGGACCTTGTGTGGAACTACTGTGAGGGTGAGGGAGGATGTGAGGGGGATGGTGTGGCTTCAGTCTTAAAGTGCCTGGTATCCCTGTGGATTTCTTCCTGGGGATGGAGAATTCTGAGTCTTGGTAGATGATGAAGTAGCTGTGGTCCAAGGAAAGCATCCCAGTCTAACAGTGAACAATGGGGAATGTGACCTGCAGCCTCGTATGTCTTGGCTGTTGTTCTTAAGACACCTAAATCTCATTTTGGGCCCTGTCTCCCTCCTCCCCCAAACACCACTGATCTCAGCTGTTGTGTGACAGGGCTCAGTTAGGCTCTTGGCAACGCAGAGGTTTACTACTGGGTGTGATAGTTGTGAGTTACACTGGAGCTGAGCTCAGCTCCCAGCTCTGCCAGAAGCATGGGGTAAGACCTCCTGTGTACCAGAAGGAACCGAGTTGTCTATTTAGAAGCTGGGATATCAGTCCTGTTCAATGCATGCCTTTTATAGGAGTGGAAAACAGACCATGGCATTTTGCATAGATATTGATACTTCCCTCTGTTAAAGAATAAATATATTGGGGACCCTTATTTTTAATGCCTTCAAATATTACTAGCAGAAAATAACAGCAGAGGTGGAGGTGAGAATTCCTGGGCAGATCCTGATCTTTTAGGCTGCCTTTGGCTGGATGTGATTGAAATCCCAGGCACATTCCTGCAGGTGTGTAAGGCTGCACTGGTTATTCCATCAGGGTGGCACAGTCTCAAGTAATTGTCAGTAATGTCTTTCCCCCTCCCTTTCATGTCTGTCAGTGAAAGGTTGGAGATCTTTACTTGCCAGTTCACATTGCTTAGCACAGCTCATATGGACACCAGCCCCAAGTGGGGTTACTCATAAACTCCAAAGGCATTTCAATATTTGATTTGACTTCTAGGCTGCAAAATAGCTTAAGGGAAAGAAATTAATGTGTTCTCTGAAACAAGTACTAGGAAGAGCTTTATGAGTTCCTCATCCCTGCTTTGATCACTGCTTTGAGTTTAGGTAATAGGCAGACACGCCAGTGTAACCCTAGCCTGGTCAAGATGAGAGTCCAAGCTGAGATTCTGGCCCTTTTTGCTTCAGGAGCAGCATACGTTGTGTGATTGGAGTGATGATGAGAGCAGTGGGTTTCAGAAGCAGCCTGCCACATCCTGTATGCAATTTAGTATGTTAAAACTGTGGCTGAGAGAGGGCCAGGAGGGCTGCTGGATAGAAGCTGTGGTTCCAAACTGCTGCAAAGAGAGAGGAAGGAAACCGAACACTAAACTGAAGGGTTTTGTGTGTTTATTCCTTAACACAGAGCAAGTAGCAAAGGCTGTTTGCCCTCATATACAGGAGAGAAGCCATTTACGTCCTTTACACAGGCACTTTGTATTCTGTCAGCTTTGGCAATGCCTTGAAGCTGATCTCATGTGAAAACAGAAGACTTGACTTGCAGTTAACCACTAGATGAGGGGCAGGACCCCTCTTTTCTGCTCCCACTCTGCCATAGGCTCAGTGCAAGTCCAGACAGGTTGGTTTTCTCTCCCTTTCTCTCATCTCAGCCTTTCTTTCCCCAACATGGGTCAGTAACTTGCCTGTCATGGAGGAACAATCCTTAGGTATGTGCAGCACTTCGGTAGATGTGCTCTGAGTTATCCAAAGTCATCTTCTCACCATGCTAATGGAATGCTGCATCTTGATAGACTTCTTTACCCATCACTTTGCAGGCTCTTGGCAGGCTTTGCCTCATTATGGTCTCCTTGGTTTCCTGAGACATGCATTTTATGTTCAGTTAGTTAAAATACTAATAACAAGCCCTCATAGTTTCATACCAATTCCTTCTCAGTGAGTACTCTATGGGCAGAGAAATGAAAGTCTCTATTAGGATAATGCATGGACTGTAAGCCCTTGTTGTGGAACAAGGAAAGGGTGCGTGGCAGTGACCTTAAAAGGGCTTAAAACTGAGACTAGAACTAGAACCCCCCTCTTTCCAGCCTTGTGCACGCTCTGCTTCCTCTCAAGACTGAGTGGACTTGTTCCATAAGGTTGGGTTTTTTGTTCTAATAGAATTAATCCTCATTATTATTGTTACTTTTACCATTTATCATTGCTGTGTAACTCTCCTGACACTTAAAAAATAAAGGAGAACGGAGTTTCAAGTTAAGGCTGATTTTTCTTTCTTGCTCTAAGCTATTAGCCAGCATTAGCTAATTCTTCCCGATAGCTGTGCACTGTGTTTCATCTCGGAGCATCCAAAGGTGCTTGACAAAGTGCAGATGGGATGCAGTCAGTTATTCCAGGGATTTCAGTATGGTTTCCACATGGGACATCATCATGTGCCTTGGTCAGAGGGCTCACAGACAGATTTTACCCTTCTAAAAGTGTCATTTAATGACCAGATCGGCAGCTGTATATGGAGTTCAGACTATCTATCTGAGATGAGGGCTGCCAGCTCCTTCATAGCACATAATTCTGCAGGCCCAGGAGGAAAGATAACACGACCTGCTGGAATAGTTAACTGCACAGCCCAAATTCCTCTTTTCCTTGCAGAACTAACACCTTGCTGCACATTCTGCTCTTGGAGGGCTTCCACCCACTAAGTAGTATCCCAGGTGCCATGACAGAGTTCTTCCAGGGACACTGGTGGAAACAGCTTGTGTTGCTGCTTGGATGGACACTGCAGGCTGCAGGTGCAATCAAAGCAGGTTACAAAAGGAAGAAGTGGCAGAGAACTGCATTTAGCAAGCTGAGATTATCAACCAGCTTGTCTAGCTCTGCAGAAAGTAGCATTTTGTCTCTTACCTGGTTGGAAATCATACTACAGCTGGTCTCCGGCCACTTCATACCACCTCTTCACTGGGGTGCATCACACTGTGGAGGCTGCTTGTGCTTTCTTAGATACCAGAGGGGGGAAAAAGAGAGATAAACAGGTTAAAAGGGTTGGAGTTAAACACTGAGAAGTGCATGGGGAGTAGTTCCTTCTCCTTAGGCTCTGCTGAGAACGAATGATGGGTTCTTGAGCAGACAGGGCCATATACAATGAAGATCTCATCCAAAGGACCCTTTACTGTTACTGTGGTGGGACCTTACTGGTCAGCCAGTGCTATAACATCTAAGTGGGACTCATTGCAGTGAGGAGAAGCCAAAGGAGAACTACCACAAAAGATCCTTTGGGCAAAGTGAGGTCATCCTGGAGCTGGTGCCAGTCCCACTGGGAACATCTGATACAACAGCGTTTTTCCAAGGTTTAAACCTTAGAAAAGGTGGTTCCATCAGAACCAGCCTGATGCCACTCAGTGATTTGAAGTGCTCAACCCCTTGCCTTTTGCAATACATCTCCCATCTCTCCAGACCCATCTCCACTGTTTTGATTGTTGCTTCGAAGTAGGGGTGAGTGCCAGGACAGAAGTTAGGAGCATTTCTGGAGGTTGATGCCATTCTGTATGAGTATCTGATTTGCACTTGAGATCTGCTGTTGCTGGGAGACCTTGAAAGGACAGGAACATAGTTTTTGAGTATAAATGTACTACAGGATCACACTGTAACAGCAGATTTCGGTATCAGTAACGGAACAGTCATCAGTAAACTCAAGTTAGATGAAAAAGAGACTTGAAACTGGAGAAGACACTCTTCCTTCCTATGAATCCCATAAGCCGTGCCCATCTGCTGACAACATTGCTTCATGTTTTCCATTACATGCTTCTAATGTCTTCGTAGTAGTCCCTGTGGAGCACCAACATGAATGTTGTCCTCTATTCCCTACACCATGCCTCATTCCTACAGACCTGTAGGGCAATATCTCTCTGTAACACACATTCCTCAGTGAAGAGGGGTTTGGAAATGTCACTAAAAATCCCCCCAGGTTTATGTGGATTTGAATCCGG